AATGAACGGGCGCCCGGGTGGCTCAGTCAGTTAAGCGTCCGACTTCGGCTCAGGTCATGATCTCGCTCGTGGTCCGTGAGTTTGAGTCCCGCGTCAGGCTCTGTGCTGACCGCTTGCTCAGAGCCCTGGAGCCTGCCTCGGATTCTGTGTCTCCCTCTCTCTCTCTGATCCTCCCCCACTCACGCTCTCTCTCTGTCTCTCAAAAATAAACAAATATCAAAACAAAAATTTTTTTTAAAACATCAGTGACTGCACGAGTGCATGAGTGGCAGGTTAGATGCTTTTCTCCAGTTCCTCTCCCCCCACGCTGGGACCCATTCACACTCAGGGTGCAGCACGTAGAGTGATGGCCTCCCCAAGAGGCCCACGTCCTGATCCCTGGGACCTGTGAAAATCTTACGTTACGTGTCAAGGAGAAATTAAGTTTGCAGGTGGAACAAAGGCTACTGAGCAGCTGACCTCGAGAGGGGAGATTATTCTGGGTGACGCGGGCGGCTTCGCGGGGTCGCTGAACTTGGAAGAGGGAGGCAGGGAGGCCAGAGGAGACGGGAGGCACAGGTCACGGTGATGGGCTGCTGGCTGTGACGATGGGGTAGGAGCCCCGAGCGGAAGGGAAAGCTGTTCCGGTGCCCTGTGGTTCTGTGCCTTTCGGGGCGGATTTCCTGCCCTGGGGGTCCATCAGTGCCAGCCCCTGCCCTCTGGAGCCGACCAGCTTGGGGGAGCCTGGGCTAAACCAAGTGGAGTCGATTTCTTCACAACCCGTCTTCTCGGATGCTGCCGTGCACGGGGGATGCCCAGAGGAAGGGGCGGGGGACAGCCTTCCCGAGGCTTCAGGTCGGGGGAGGGAACATTCAGTCTTCCTCCAGGGGTGGGACTGGACCCGGCACTGAGATGGCCCGGCCACCACCAACGTCAAGGCTTAGGGAGGTTGGCTTCTGTTCTGTTCTGATTTCGGACTCACAGACTCGCGCCCAGACTGCAAGACGACCCATGCGAGAAGATCTGTTTATTTTAAGAAATGCCAAATATTCAAACCATCGCTAAATGGCTTAAGATAATAGAGGCTCTGTTAACGAACTCACGGAGAAGTTTCCTTCCCAGAATGGGCCTAGAAGCGTGTGTCTATCCCAGGCCGTCTGGGAGCATCTGAGAGGAAGACAAAGGAAGGACACCAGCTTTCAGTTACAGGTGGTGCTTTAAATCTGGGAGAGCTCACCAGACAGACGCGGAGTGAGCATTCAGGCGGTTCAGCACAAGCCCTCCATTTGATCCAGGAGCATTCGGGTTGCAAGTGACAGAAAACACCATCCAGCTTCCGTCATAGCTGGACCCGGGCACTCAAGGTCTGCAGAGTTCCGTCTTCCTCCGTCTCGTGGCTCTACTGTCCTTCGAGCTGGGCCCACCCTCAGGAGAGTTCTTTCTTGGTGGCCAGGTGACAGGTGTGCCTCCTACTCTGTACCCTATGCAGCCTCCGGGGACAGAGAGCACTCATCCCCTGGGCCCTATGAACAAGAGTTCCAAGGTCAGCTCTGATTGTCCTGACGTGGGTCTGTGACCATCTCTAAAAGTGAGTCACCGTGGCCCGGGGAATGCTAAGCTGGGACTGACCAGAAGCAGCCCCCGTGGCCACTTTTAGAGCCGGGGGGGGGGGCATCCACTGCTTCTGAACCGTGTGGGCTAAGACAGGACGCTGGTCGGTCCTCCAGGTAAACCGGAGTGCCGAGAACAAACGTCGGGAACGGAAGCTGGGCAGAGGACTCCACGCTGTGGGCTCCCCCACCCCCTAGAGAGTAGCTCCTCTCCAAGGGGTTCCTCAGACGTTGTGAAGAAGACTGTAATGGCCCAGGTTTCTCACACCCGGCGGGTCTGGCACCGTGGCCGAAGCATCATCTGCTTTCGTTCCTGGAACATCGCTGGGAGGTCAGGGCTGACGGCCCTCTTCTCCGTTCGTAGAGGAGGAAACTGAGGCTTAGGAGCCACAGCCCCTTGTGGGAGGTGCGTCTGTCCAGGGTGATGCGTGGAAACCCGGGCCAAGCTCACAGAGCTGCTTCCCCGGAAGAGGAGGATTGAGTCCGAGCAGGGTCTCCTGACGCACCTCTGGAGGGACTCGTCTGGTCCTCCCGCCAGCCGTGAGCTCCGGAGGCAGAGGCCACGAGGGGCCAGCAGCGACCTTCA